AGAGAGAGGGAGAGAGAGAGGGAGAGGGCAAGAAAGAGAGAGAGAGAGAGAGAGAGAGAGAGAGAGAGAGGGAGAGAGAAACTGTTACTTCAAAGTTAGGACAGAACCAGGCCAGAGTCAGCTAAGGGGTAAGATTTTTGTGGTCGCACTGAGGGAGCTGAGCTACAGGGAGTGTAATATATGCAGGTTTGTATTTCAGGGATATCATTGGTTTCTAGCATTGTGAAGGAACCACTGCAGGGACAAAAGCTAGGGATTTCTGAGAAGCTGATTTTAAAGCATAGCAAGAGAAGTGGATAGGCCATTTAGGAGGTGAAATCTATTTGGTGTTGTTATTGGTTTAGAGGAGTCAGGGAGAGGGAGGAATAGGCAATATTCCCTATTCTCAGAGGAGAACCTCATATAAACCTATGTGGACACCATGCTTGTAACTTCTGTCTTCAGACTCTCAGTCCAGTACTCTTCTGCCTTAACAGTCAACTAAGCATCTGGTAGGAAATCAGGGCCCTTCAGGAAATCAGTTCAATGAACATTCAGAATCTTTCAAAAGTTCAGACTGGAAAACTGAGGACTGAAATGCTGATGATCTAAGTCGTTGTGAAATGAACATCCCATCCTCGTACCAAAGTGTGGCGGCAGAGCCAAGGGACAGTGGTCATCACATGGTGCCTCACACAGCTCAGTGAGGGCGTCACCACTTAAGGAATCAACAGATATGGTTATTAACAGTGGGCTGGACTTTCAAAAATGATGCAGCAACCAGGATTGTTTTTTTATTGTTGTTGTTTTGGGTTTTTTGGAAATAAGGATGCTGCCTTAAAAATAGCACACACTCACTTGTCAATAACTAAAACTGATGCTACAATTTTCCAGATGCAAGAGAAGGTGTGAAAAATGTGATATAATCTTATTTCATTCTCCAATCAACAATATGAGGCAGAGATTCTTGTTATCCCATTTTCCAAAGGCTTAGCAAGGTTGAATAATTTTCTTGATAGGATTAGAGCCCAGGTTTAGTATCATCACTGTGAAAAGCCAGTTTATGTAGTGGGTACTTAACTGAAAATCTTGTCTTTGCCTCATGTTTCTAGATAAGACAATGATTAATTAATATTTCTCTTAAGACTAATATATATATTTTAAATCAGATGTCTAGGATATTTCGACGTTCTTCTGGAGGAGGTCGATTTATCAAATCTCATGTTATCAAATTAAGGTATGTAAACCTAGTCTGTAACTTCAACTCAATTGTGTTAAGATGAAGTATTTAATCACCATGATTGCTCAACTACCCTGAGAAAACACATCCAGAAACACAGACATTTCACAGGCCTTAAACAACACAGGTCACACTACCTAACTATTCCTCATGCACAGTAGATGTCAAGTGCTGGCTGATGGGAAGGTCTCAGATAGTAGATTGAAAAGCTGCCGGAAGGGTGAAGATGGTGCCATTGACATCGCTAATGAAATGATTTCCCTCTCTAAGCTCTTTTCCCTAATGATTCAATTATTGGCTGATCACCAAATGCCTACATGCCAGTGCTTCAATACAACCAAGGTATATTTCACATCCATGGGACAGGACTTATTCAAAGGGTCAGAAGTGGAGGCTGAGAGATAGGTGCTGGTGGGCCATGGGTGGAATCACTGCAGGACCTTCTGCTTCTGGTTGACAGACAAGGCAAGAGCAAGAGCCTGGATATTGATAGAAGAGGTTTTTCAGGGCCAGGTTTCAGAGGTTTTCAGGGGAGACCTCATTTCTGCTCAGATCTCATTGGCCACAGTTCACTACAGAATTTCACTTAACTTGAAGAAAGGCTAGAAATGAAGTCTAGCTCTGTGCTCAGGAGACAAAAGACACTGGGTTTGGTAAACAAAAGAATTGTCCCTACATATCACTCTGAAGAATAATGACCTCAGGTACAACTTCTATTCAAAAAGCCTTAAACAATAAATACTGTGAGTGCATGTCAAATGTGAATTTATGAACATCTCCTACCAAACCAGTTGAGCTGTGAACTAGAGAAGAGCAAAAGATAATTTTTTCAGGCCTATACCTTATCCAGTTTTTCTAGCATGTTGCCTTTACTTCTCCAGTGCTTCCAACAACTCCTGATCATTATACATCCATTCCAATTCCTTTATCTACAGATGAGTTTAAAATCTTGGTGTCCATCATCCATATGTTTCTTTAAATTGAATGAGCCCTAATAGGTAGAAGCTGTTTGTGAGTAGAAAAATGGCACCGTTTGCCTGTGTTTTGCCTTTCAGTCCATATGAAGAAGGCGTGAACATTTTTATGGTGCTGATGTTCCGGTACCCATCCAGTGATAGTGTTGAACGAATCAGGAAGATAGTTGAAAGGACTTTATACCAAAGTCTGAAGATCAACCAGTTTCCTTTGACTATAAGTAAACCATCATTTAGACTCACACGTAAGTCTTTGTTTGGATTTTAATATGCCTTTTTACAAACCTTTGCTTGTAATCCCTGTCATTTTCCATAATATTTAGATGAATGTATTCTCACAGTTTAAGAATTCATCACTGATAAACATCAGTGTGTAATTTTCTAAACTCCTTTACTGTTTCCTAAGCAAAATCAAAAAATAAAATATTCTTGGATTTTATTTTCAAGTAAAATTTTACAATTTGAGCTAAGTATCAAATCAGAGTAGAGGATTATTGATATATTACTTGGTTATGAAAAATTCCATGCTGTTTTACAGCATGGATACTTTAAGTAATTATAATTTAAATTCTTCAAATACTTAACATCTCTATCAATGACAATTTGAACAAAAATAACACGAAAAAATGAATATATAATTCTGCCAACTAATTCTTGTCTTTTCATCCTAGCTATTGACAGCAGAAAGATGAGGAATCTTCTCAACAGTCGTAAGTTCCAAAATCAACAATTAACTCTCCATTGCACTATAAATTAATAAAAATAGACACAGAGGAATTGAAAGCACAATTTTTAAGCTTTTTTGCTCATTTATATTTTCATGAACCAAACTACTACTCCTTGTATTTTTTTATTATTTTTAGTATCTAAAGTATTAGATTTACAAATCCATGCCAAACATAATTATCTTTTATAGCCTATGAAATATGGTTAAAAATTACACAGTACTCTAGATTTTATATTAGTATTCCCTTTAAATATTTCTGTTTTAATATCCTCTCACAATTTGGGGGAGTGCTTTTAGATGGTAAGGAGTTATGATTTTTCTTCATAAATTTTTTGTTTTCTTCCATTTTATTGAAATATCTGATTTGTATATTTTCTGCGTCTTTGACAACCCTGCCTCCCTACACCCAAGCATATTTTGGGTCTTTTATGGACAAATATATGCCTATTAAAATGTTGTAAGGACACTTTCAAATCTTTTCAAAGGTAGATTTAAAGTCTAACTTATGGAGGATTTGAAATTAGGGAATAAGAATTTTTTTAAACTAGACTATCAAATTTTAGAAGATGAAGAGAAGATCATTAATTTAAGACTGAAAATGATTCTCTTTACTGATGTCAAAGGCAAAGCCTCCCCTACATTCAATGTTGAGCCTCCTCTCATTAGTAAGGTCTCAGCTGGCTTGGGTGTGGATGGTCCTCATTTTATGTCCCCCTCTGTCTCTTACCAACTGGGTGACCTCTGGCAATCTGTGTTCCCTCTCCAAGGCTTAGTTTCCTTGTTTAAAAACTTGAGAAAATATATAAATGTATCCAAAGCATTTAGCAGAGGATCTATACATTTTGATACTCAGTAAATTATGTTTATTGATGAAGGAAAAGTCAAAATTCTGAAAAACATTCAAAACAAAATCAAAAATCCTTTCTGAACCTTAAGAGATGTGCTGTTTGGGTGCACTGCCACACCAGCTCATGGAGAAATGAATCTGCCAGAGGGAGCAATTCCCTGAACCTGAAAGTTTTGCAAGTTTCATGATACACCAGGCTGGTGGGTTTGCTCCTGACCTGGACCTCCCACTGGACTTAAGAACTTATGATAACTCCAATTTGTGTCAGTTTCTAGTTTCTGATCCACTTCAGTTTTGCTTATTTCCCTCAAACAGTTCCACACTATCATCCTCGCCATTGCTAGTTGTAAAAGCCCAAGCCTATTTTGGTGGAATCCTTGCTCAGTATAACTCAATGTACATTTCCCTATGTACAAATCTTTCCTGTTCCCAGAATAGATTTCTTTGCCGTATTTAAGCTCATTTATGATTTCATGTTTTACTTTAGCCATCTATATGTGCTTTATAACATAAGCCAAACTTGGAGTGAGTGCCTTGAAATGTTAGTTAGAAATGTTAGAGGCTCTTCTGAGCCTCACTACAATCAGCAGCGCTCATAAATAATAACTTCAGAGGCTGAGTGCTGGCAATTGTTGGGGCAATGCTTTTCGAAATAACACTATCCGATACAAATTAGGATCTTGTTTCCTCCTTTTCCAGACAAACTAACATGAATTTCTGTGACAGGCTGTGGGATAAGAATGACACTTTCAAACATGCCGTTACCAGCGTCATCCTCTACTGAGAGGATTGTGCAGGGAAGGGAAACAGCTATGGATGGGGAGTGGCCATGGCAGGCCAGCCTGCAGCTCATCGGGGCAGGCCACCAGTGTGGAGCCAGCCTCATCAGCAACACATGGCTGCTCACAGCCGCTCACTGCTTCCGGAAGTAAGTCCGCCAGGGACGGCTGGAAAATCCTTTCCCAATTCTCTCTTGCCATTGATTCAGGGTACAGGAAGAGCCAGTCTCACCAGCCTATTCTCTGATCCACTCAGCGTGGATCCCACTCTGTCCCTGAACACAGTTATCATTGGTAATTTTTACCATATACTTCCTCTATTGCCATGATACTAGCGCTATCTTTACTACTGTATCATGGATTATTTTAGTATAAAGAATATTATACCTGTAACAAGTTTAATTTCTTCCACATAGTCAAGAAACAAAGAAAAAAATTCTGTTAGTTATTTACTTCATTGTAAATATTTTGAGGGTACCCTTGCATTTGCTTTGGATCTTGGTTCTTTCCTAAAAATCAACTTCCCTAAAAAGCACCAGTGTGTTAAGTTCTAATGTCATGATCCCAATATATGTTATTCATCTTTAACCCTGGCTTTAGTTTTTACGTGTACAGCAGTATTTTTAATAAAGAATTACAGACATTAAAAAAAGAGGCAAATCAGCCACTTAGTTTTGCCCTTTTCCCCTAATTTTTTTTCCCTTTTCCCCTAATTAATACAACTTCCCACTGTCAATATCCACTATTACTTTACAAATAAAAAATATCATAGACATCCCTCCTGAAGCTTGCCCTTCTCATCACAATATCCAAGATGCCCCATGGGCTTGTGTGATTCAGAGAGGTGTGTGGAAGGCAAGAGAGGCCTGCTTACCTTGTTGCAGTGCCTTCACAGTATGGCAGACATGATATATAACCCAGCAAGACCACTGTCTTGGTTGTAGCTCTCATGACTCAGTAGTGTCAATTCACATACACAGTCACATACAAACCCACTGTAAAGCCAGATGAAGGACACACCATATTTTTACCCCTAAGGTTTTACCATTAGGGTAAAGAAAGCATTTCCTTTAAAGTCTCAATAGGCAAAGCCTCTGAGTAAAGCCCCTCTGCCTGGCCAGTGGCATTTTTCACAGACTCTTCAAAAGCAGCCCAACCTTGATGATTCAGGGAGATTTTTATCATCTTTCTATGAGTAACAGCCCAAATGATTCCATTGTTTATGGGATAGGGATGCAATGAATATGACCTAATGAATTTAAAATAATTATCACTTGCTTACTAGAGAAGAGGCTCATTTAACATATATTTATGAATCCAAAAAAAACTAACATCATGCCTCAGAGGCGAATCTGAGTCCCACTCACTTGTTAGGACTCTCTGATTTATTCATATTCACATAATTCTTCAGTCTTTAAACTTCTGTTTTTGTATCATTCTTGTTAGTTTACAACTTATCTCTGGTTTATGTAAATTAAATTAAATAAAAGCAGAATTCCAACTTAAAGTTTAGTTGAAGAACATAAGCTTTAGTGATTAAAATATTTGTTTCAGTGGGTCCATTGCAATTCTTGTGGGCTGGCAGACCTACTTGAGAATTAGCCATTGAGCAGAATAAAGTACAAATTTCAGGTGGCTTTGATAAGAGAAAATTTGATATTGTGATTGGGATGATAGTGGACTCAATACAGAGGAGAAGAAAGATTGGATGAAGTAAGTTTAAACACTTTTAAGGAAATTTTGAATGAGAGAAGGGAGAGCAATTTGGCAATTGATGTGGTTGTTATGTCAGAGGAAGTTGGTTTTTTGTTGTAGTTGTTTGTTTTTGGTTTTTTTAATATGGGAGACATAATTCAACAGAGCTGGGCAAAGTGGTGATCCTGGCAAAGAAGGATTCAGTTTTCGGAATGATGTAATTTCATGTAAGTTCATAGTGTGATATATTTTTGTTTTTTGTGTTTTGGGTTTTTTTTGGTACCGGGGATCGAACTTGGGACTTTGCCATAGTGTGATATATTAATGTGAAAGGAAAAAGAGTATTTTGAAGACAATATAGCTGTTAGGCAAATAATCTTCAACTTTTTGTAAATGTAGTTTTAATTCAGAAATCAATTTATTTCAAATCTTACATTTAAGGCAAATCTTGGCACCTTTATGTCTATGAAAAATTATCTCAGTCTTCGTGAAAGAGTTTAGGGTAGAAAAAAAAGTTCTTCATGTGATATTAGGAGATCTGGACTATATCTTTTTTATTTTAACTGGCTAGGAATGACTCTCACCAGGAAAAGCCTCTGAACTTTTGGGTCTCAACATCCTTATCCATGAAGTATGTTGAACTGGGTGGCCCCATTTTGTGAAGTTTCCTCTCTCACTGACAAAGCATAAAGGGATGGGATAATTCTATTTTGTTTTCTTAGCTCATGAGCTCCTTATTTTCTATTATAGCTTCCCAGAATTCTATTTTCTAGTATCTGGATTCCACATGAATGCTACAGTCCTAAGATTCCTGGTTTCAATAAAATCTTCTTTCACTATATAAATAAGTAGAACGGATGAGGAAGGAAGCCCTTTCCTGTGTTTGGGTTCTTTGTACTCATCCCTGGGGTAGTGGAGAGTACTTAGAAAACCACTGACCTTCAGGCTTTCATTATTCTTAAAAGTTGATGATTCACCAACATAGTAATCACTCATGAAAGAGGAAATCCCCTTTTAAATTATCTTGTTTATTTCCTTCTACACAATTTACCCTCCCCCAGAGAATTTTAAGTTTCTATATGTCTCCAGTCATTCTTAATGGGGATAATTCTAAAAAGAGTGAAGTAGGGGCCAGGGATTTAGCTCAGTGGTGCCGCCTGCCTCTCAAGTGGAAGTCCCAAGTTTGATCCCTGGTACCAAAAAAAAAAAAAAATGAAGTAGACTTCAGAAAAAATTTGCCTGCGATGTGACCTTCTGGGAGAGTAATCTGTGTAAAGGGAGAATTGGTAAGCGGGATTGACCAGGCTGGCTAAAAGGGTGGTAGAGGCTATGCTTCCAGTTAGGGCCACTTAGCCTTTGATTATCAGGGAGGGGTGTGGCCATAAGTAGATCAACAATTCAGTGGAAATGATGGCTTGCAAAGTACACAAATTACACTTAGCCTCAAAAATCACCATAAAGGGCCAGGGATTTAGCTCAGTTGTGCCGCCGCCTGCCTCACAAGTGCAAGGACTGGAGTTCGATCCCTGGTACCAAAAAAAAAAAAAAAAAAATCACCATAGAATCCAGTAAACAAAAGCCAACAACTGAGTCATAAAATAAGAATGAATAGCAGATTTAATTCAGAACAAAAATGCTTTTTAGTGTGTGTATGACCTACAACAAATTAGAATTACTTTCTATATATTTCATTGAAATTAAAGAAAAACAGGAACCAAAAGAGTTCCTAATAAGCCAGTAATTTTAAAATTGAAAGTTAAAAAATTGGAAATCAATCTTATCAATTAATAAATTGTACACAATTAAGTGCAATTAGTCACAAGAAATCTTTTTTTTTCAGAAAGTCCTATAAATTCTCTCATCATAGGGGTCTTCCAGGAGCATAATTCCAATAGTTGGGGAGAAATGTAGTCTTAATGTTTTTAAAGGATAAAAGTAAGCATTATGAATTTCACTCTTTTACTTTTTATAGGAATAAAGACCCAAGTCAATGGATTGCTACTTTTGGTACAACTATAACACCACCCGCAATAAAACGAAGTGTGGGAAAAATTATAGTTCATGAAAATTACTATAGAGATACAAATGATAATGACATTGCTTTGGCTCAGCTCACTAACAGAGTTGAATTTTCAAATGTAGTTCAGAGAGTTTGCCTTCCAGATTCATCTATGAAGTTGCCACCTAAAACAAGTGTATTTGTCACAGGATTTGGGTCCATTGTAGATGATGGTAAGTAGTTTAAATCTAATTTTCTTAGTACTTGAATGCTTGAATTTGAACAAGCTGTTTTAGGGAATCCATCTTAAGCTTTTCATAAAAATATTGACAATGTCTCTGTGTATGTGGCCCTGGCAGAATAAGCATCTTGGGTTAAAATGTAAAATAATGATGTCTGTGTCTCTGAATTCTCAGTTGGGGCGGTGATACAAAAAGGGACAGGTTAATACAGAAGAAAAGAACAGACTGTATTAGTAATAGAAGAAAGAACAGACAGGGAGTAACTAATTAATAATTGTGTACTTCTAAAATGTAAATAAACACTTTTTAATCAGCATATACTTTAAATCAATCTTTTTTTGGCAAAAACTTCGATCTCTTTTTTATTTTTTAATTTTTATTAGTATAAATTTGCAATACATAATTACATTCATTTTGGGGAATTGAAAAAATATATATGTATGGCATCTCAGTTTTACATGTATTTCCCCTCCCACCCCTCCCCACCCCAACTCACCTTTTTCCTTTATTTTAATCCATCATTTTAATGAGAATTTATGATGGTTATAAAGATGAAAATAGGTTATGAATGTTTTGAGAATTTTCATTTTTTCATTAATAAAATCAGCATTTTTCCTCTATCATACCTCTTAAGGATATTATAAGAAATTAGGTCTAAGAATTTTAAAAATTGAAAATAGGAGCCTTATGTTTCTAAGTATTGCTTTACTGTGCTCTAAAGAGAGGGATTACCTAAACATTGTAAAGTAAAAAATAAGATATACCTAAAGTCCTCCAAAGGGTATCCTGAAGGAAGTCAGAGACAAATGCTATTATATCTTCTTTTTTTTTTTTTTTTTGCTACCAGGAATCCAACTCAGGACCTTGCACTTGCAGTGCAGGCAACGGCAACACTGAGCTAAATCCCCAGCCCCAAATGCTATTATATCTTAATCTAATTCTTTCTTTTTTGATAGAATTCTGCTAACACAAAAATTTTTCAAAATGTCCCATGCCTATCCAACATAGCTTTGTGATTCTTGTTTCTTTTTATTTTCTCTCCCCTTATTGCTACCTCATGAATATTCACCAACAGCCAAACCCAGAATCCCTTACAATAGTCAGGTATGCAGCACCCTCTTCCAAAACCCAGACTGTTCTGTGCTGGCATTAGACTGCTGGCACACATGGGCATTCATTTCATTTCCATGCTACAAGACATCCCTAAGTAGAATGCTATAGAATAAACTAGGGCAACTGTGTCCTAGTTTCTATCTACATAGCTTTTGATAAATCAATAAATTTCCATGGCTTTGATTTCCTTATATGGAAAATGTGCCAGTTGGACAAGATCAGTTATGAGCTCATAAAGAGGCACATACATAATATTTTTTCATAATGTATAGATATATGATCAACAATATGATATAAAACTAGGGCATGAATATTTAGGGTTTCTTGCATGCACAAACTTAAGAGATTGTTATGGTTTGAATCTAAAATGTCTTGCAAAGGTCATGTATTAAAGACTTGGTCTTCAGCTGGTGAGTTTTTGCATGATGATTGGACCATGAGAGCTCTAACTTCATTAGTAGATTACTTCTCTAATGGATTTATAATTTGATGGTATTATTGAGAAATCCCAGAAATTTAAAAGATAGGACCTAATTAAACAGAGTACATTGTGGTGCCCAGTCCTTGGAGTCCATATCATGTCCCCAGTTCTTTCTCCCTCTGCTTCCTGGCTACTGTGTGATGGGCAGCTTTGCTCTACCACATATTACTGCTGCCATGATGTTCTGCCTTGCCACAGACCCAAAGCAATGGAGCCAGCTAATCATGGACTGAAACCTCTCAAACTGTGAGCCAAAATAAATCTTTCCTCCTTTAAATTGGTTTTCTCAGGTATTTTGTCACAGCAAGGAAAGTGACTAACAAATGTAGAAAATGAAATTAAGGGATAATCAAAGTTAAGAAATTAATCTTGTGCTTTTGCTCCTAGAAATATATCACTTACCTCCCTTCTATGTCTTAGTTACAATTCTGTTTGATATATACATTGTTTATTTCTTTGTGTGTGTAACAGGACCTACACAAAATAAACTTCGGCAAGCCCGGGTAGAAACCATAGGTACTGATGTATGCAACAGAACAGATGTATATGATGGTCTGATAACTCCAGGGATGTTGTGTGCTGGCTTCATGGAAGGAAAAGTAGATGCGTGTAAGGTAAGTGCAAAGTCAAGGTCAAAACTTTAAAAGTAACATTACCATTAGCTATTTCTAAGTTTGGTATATATTTTACCTGGAAGAAAAAAATGGCATCAAATTCACCTAGATCTAAATTTATTTAATAAACAAATGTTATTGTATTGTTTTTACAGTGTGCCAAGACAAAAACTAAGCACTTTTTATACAGTATTTTATTTAATATAATGAGATATAAAAGGTATTATATTTATTCCTATTTATAAATTAGAAAATTAAATTCTGTCCCTATTTTTGGTTCACACAATTACTTTTATGATCCATTGTTATTTTCTTAAATGAAATTTTAAAAAACCAAAGGATAGAGAAACTTGTCCTCTGTAGACCATGTCATTTATCTCTCTCATCACCTCTTACACAAATTGTTTTCATGCTCCAACTCCCTAGGCCCTCATTCCTCAGTTGTATTAATATGTACACCTGAAATAGTTTCCTATCCTAAACCTAAGCTGCAGGATTAACACTGGCTGGTGGAAATGCTGGACTTCTAGTTTCTTGACGTCTTCATCTCCAGTGAACTCTGTTCTTCCTTGGCCACCTCAAATCTCATTTTTAAACACTGGGCCCTAGCATCAAAAACTGTTCCATCTCAAATTCTCATCTTCCTATTGGACCAGCATTCCCTTTCTTCCCCTCTCTCCCCACTTTTGATCTACTCCTGGGTCCCTGAATATATTTTTTATGTTACCTCCTAACCTCACTCCCAACACACACTTTTACTATCAAATATTTGTGGAAAGATTCTATACCTATTAATTCCAGTTTTCTTAATACTCATTAATTCCTCAAACCATTTCAATGTAGTTTTTGCCCTGCTAGTTCACCAAAATAGCTTTTTCAAGCTCTCTAATGACATCTATGCTCTTAAAATCCAACAAGTATTTTAAATTGTATTCTTTTTCCACCTTTTAGCAGCATTTAATAATGCTTACCATTCCTTTCCTTTGAAATACTGTCTTCCTTTGGTGTGTAATAATTTTCCACCCAACCTTCTCTCCCTACTCCATATCCAGATGATTATCTGATCTTATGGATTTTTACCTTCTCTTCATCACCATTATTCCATTGTCTTATCCCTTTTGCTTCCTTCCTCCCCCCATCAGACAACTCTTCTAGCCCTACTACTTATTGCCTCATTATTGCTTTTATGATTTTAGTGGGTTTATCAAATAAAGGTCAGATTTATTTCTAACAAGAAGATAATCTGATCATGTCTAATCCTTCCTTAAAATGCTTCAGTGACTTTTTTAAGCCTTATGATAAAAATCAAAAGACTTCTTAACAAGCCCAAGATCCACAGGGCTTCACCTGGTCCACTTTACCTCTACCTCTCCCACCTCATCACAGCCCACTTTCCCCTTTCTGTCTTCTTTTTTCCTCTCCAAGCCCCAGCCACCTGCAGGCCTTTCCACATACAAGGCTCCTTCATGTCACAACACATGTGCAGTACTTTTCCCTCTGCCTGGAACATATTTCATCCCCACTTTCCTTTTTATGGTCATCTTCCTTCAGCAGTCAGCTTTATTATACCAAGTTACATTCCCTGACCAGTCAGATTCCCCTGTGGTGTGTTTCCATAGTACATTTCACAGTTGTAATTTTGCATTTGCTTGGGGCTTAATATTGGGTTTTTTTAACTTAAATTTTAACCATAAGGGACTTTTCAGTTTGGGTCATTATTGTATCCTTAATACCCATAAAAATCCTACTGTACATAATAAGAACTCAATGAATAGTTGATAAAAGAGTACATTAAAAAAACAGTTGAAAGAGACATAGGAAAGTAAAATATCTTGCCCAAGGTCATGTAGCCAGCAATTAACAGAACCAGGCCTAAAACTCAAACAGCTCAACTACAGTGAAAACACACTTTTAACCTCTCCATGTATATCTATGTGCTTCCTTAATCTTCTTTGTCCCAAAACAGACTTAAATAAGCTTTTATAAAATTCAGCAAGGAAACATAAATTCCAAGTAGGAAAATAAAAGAAAAGGAGGCCAATAGACCATCCATTGTAGGTCAAGCTAATAATATTCAAGAGAGAGCTTTAAAATTTTGTCTTCACCATGACAAATAATTCCATATTTAACATTTGTGTGCATAAATGTTACTAAATTAAACTCACAAAAATAATCCATGAATGGTCAACTAGAAATACAACCATTCCATATGAATAAAGGTTAGGCATTCTAAAAATAACAATGCACTTTAAAATTTAACATAAAATCTTAACTAAATTGAAAAGAGCATTATATATTCTATTATATTCTGGCTGTGTGCTCTATGTACTAATTTCCTTTTTATCTGTGGAAAAGAAATAATTATAATGACCATTTTGCTAAATTAAAGTAATGAACAACTTCAAATATGTATATTTTTTATTCTAGGGTGATTCTGGTGGACCTCTGGTTTATGATAACCGTGACATCTGGTATATTGTCGGTATAGTAAGTTGGGGACAATCATGTGCCCTTCCCAAAAGGCCTGGGGTCTACACAAGAGTGACTAAGTATCGAGATTGGATTGCTTCAAAGACCGGTATCTAACATGGGTGGTTTGTGATTTACATCCATGGCCTGTGGAGCTGAAACTCCTCATATTGTATATTATTTAAATTCCTATGTTTGGAATCAGTGCTTTTGTTAGATGTCAAAAACTCTTCAGGACTGGACCAGTGTAATATGAGGCAGCCTTTGTGTACATATGACCAAACTGTCCCTCTGACATGAAGAAGACACAGCAAATGACAGATACCACTGATTTCTCACTCAAAAGGGAAACTGTGATACTTGTTAATAAATGAATGCCTGGAGATGCCTTCCCTCTATTGAAGATGAGGAGCATCATTTTCTACAGGGTATGAGGAGCTGCCAGGCTATCACATTCTTACCTCACGTAATACCTGGAGCAACTGGGGTTCTTCTGGTGAAAATCAAATGGCAGTCTTTCCTGAAAATTCAGGGCTTCCATATTCTGGAACTGATGACTGCACATTTAATGGACAGAATGGAGGACCGTATAATCTTCAATGTAACTTGAACTCACACCTGGGTTTATATCCAATAGTACAGGACACTATCATTAACCACAGGCGTTGTCATTTATTTAAATATTTCTGAACTTGCCATTAACACTGTGTTATGTACTCAACGCTAACTTCAGGAAGCTTGTGTTGCAAGAAGCGTTTCTGAGTTATTCTGTAATAGTATCTTGTCACCCATACATCAATTCTAGTCAGCCCTGAAAAAAGAGAAAGAAGAATCCTGGGAGCATATGTCCATGAGTAAAAGAAGGATAAAAAGCAGGGAACGATTACTAACACAGTTTGTTGCAAATGATTATTAATAGGAAAAACACTCTAAATTTTTGATGGAATGAGCTATCCAGTCATTTATTTAGAAATGTCTATATCAGAATATGACAAGTGGTGCTTTTGTTAAGTTTTCAGCTCTCTGAGAAGTCAGATGTCTATCACAGTGTCAAGTTGGGAGAGCTGTTTTGTGTAAAACACTCAGAACAGAGCTGGGCTTGTGTTGAGTGCTAAATAGCTGATCATCTGTTGTCATGCTCTTGACTACAGAGAGCCTCTGAACTCACTTTTAACCCTCAAATATGAGACCTCAATTTGTTGCTCTGACTTTTCAGAGAAAAAAATCTTGCCTATTCATTTCTTTAATGATTGAAACTTTTGTTTCATTACATATACATATTTTATATGTAATATATGTACAAAAAATAAATATAACTAAAAATATCCAAGTTGTAATTTACATCTCAACAATATATCATAAACACAGAAGGGTCAACCATGCACACTTAATCTTTTAAAAAGTAAATTTCACCAAATTCTAAGTTAATGACTTGTAATAACTAGAAATGATCAGGAAAAGGAGAGTTAAAAGCTTAAATTCTTACACTTATTTCATTTACTTAATTTAAATTCTTATGCCTGAAGATAGCAAAAAAACAGATAAAGCTTTCCGAAGAATATTTAGTACATTAAAGATGAGTTTGATTGATGTTGGACTTATGTTAAAACTAATATAATCTCTTTTGGTAGATACAGGAAAGCAAATCTGTCTACAAAAAAAAGTCACTTTTCCCTATGTAAGTTCTATAATAATGAATATATGCTTTTATGTAATTTTATTTATATAAGACTGTGATAATTTTTCTGTATAAGTATCTGTGAAACTATTTATACTGATTAACTATTTCTTCTCACTTCAATTCAGTGACATCTTAATGCAAATAAGAACATGTAGTGGTTAAAGTGGATTGCCAATTTGATTGGTTTTGGGATCAACCTAGCAGTGATAGCAAACATTTTAGAGATGAGTGCCCAAACTGCAATACATAACCCACTTATTTATCACAAAGTGTCAACTCTGTAATTAAATCTGAATACTGAGGCTTTAGTTTAGAAAATCCAACTCATACATAAACATATTTGTCTTAAAAGAAAAATGAATAACACACATGCCATAAGCTTGCCACCACTGGCCTAGCGGATTAGTAGAGCACACTTCTGGATGTGTCTGGATGGGTCATAGAGGTGTGTTATTAGCGTCTATAAATAGTCACTTGTACTTTCCTCTGTGCTGTTGTTTTTCTGTGGTGCTTCCCTGCCAATATAAGCTAAGCAGCTTTCCTCTACTATTCCCTTCCACACTGGTGTTTTTGTCTTGGAGTCTGCTGACCATGGACTGAATCCCCTGAAACCCTGAGCCAAACTAAACCTCTCCTTTAAGGTGTGGGTGTTCGGTATTGTGTCTCACAAATAGAAAACTAACATAGGAAATTTGTATCAGAAAAATAGGGCCATGGCTGTGATTATGCCTGACCATATGGTTTAGAAGGCTTTAGAACTGGCCTAAGGGAGGTGTTGGGAAAAGTTTAGAGATGCTAGATGAGAAGCCCTAGACTGCTGTAACCGGAGGCAGATGGGTAATTCTGGTCAGAGCTCAGATGACCACAATGCTGACAGAAAGGCAGAAAGGCCAGGCTCAGGTTTCAGTTGGGAACAAGGAGTTCATTGGCAATTTGACTAGACCCCATGTGTTTTACACTCTGGCAAGAAAAAAACTGACTTCATTTTGCCCACATCCTGTGACTTTGTGGAAGACTGAGATAAAGCGTGGTGCACTAATTGATGTGGGACAGGAAATTTCAAGACAGCCCAATATTCAGGCTGTGGCATTAGTACTGTTAGCTGCTTTTAGCCAAATTTATATTGAGAACTGAGAACAAAAAGTAAAGAAGAAAAATTTGAAAAACTTAAATTTTGGCCTAGAAAAATCATGTGTAAAGTTGATGCCAAGAAGGTATGATTGTTCAAAAGATTAGCAACATTAAAAAAAAAGAAAAGACTGTACAAGAATAAAAACAAAGATGCCTTGAGGTAATCAGAAATTAGCAAGACCCAACCTATCACAGGCACAAGAGTGAAAAAGTATAAACCTTTCATTTAAGAAGAGAGTTCCTGGGACACTTGCTTGAGGAAAGCTGCCTACAGAATTGATTCTTAGGACTCATTTCATTGTGTTCAGTCATTCAGGCTGCCACAGCATAGTCTGAGGGAGCCTGGTTATGGCTTTTGCTAACAGAAGACCTTGATGTCATCTGTGTGATGCTGGTTTTACTGGAAAGCAGAATATAAGAGCGGTGTAGTCATGGAGATGGCTTCCACCTAGATTTCAAAAGAGAATCTGGAAGACCAAAGAAGGAGCCCCCTGAGAGGACAGTTTTTGAAGTTGTAGGAGTAAAACCACAGGTGCAGTGGAAACACAAATTTGGAGCTGGCAGAAGCATGGAACATCTGCTGAGGAAAATCACAGCAGTGAACAAAGCCGGCCTAAGAGAGAAGTAATCAAAACTATAAGAGTTGGGTCACCCAATCTCTCTGGAACAAACATCTCACCATTTTCTCTGGAGGCTGGATATGAATCTATAGGACTTTATGTTTGCCCTGCTGGGTTTTGGTACTGCTTGGATCTGATTTTTTCTCTCTCTCCTTTCTTTCCTTTTTTAATGGGAGTGTTTACCTAGTACCATTGTATGTTGTGGTATGTAAACCTGTTTTTCTTTTCTGTTTTTCTTTTCTTTTTTTACAGGGATTCACAACTAAGAGTTTGCCTGTGTCTCATAGGAGACTTTAGCTTGGACTTTTAACAGTGCTGGGTGGGACTGCTCAGACTTTGGGGAAGGGACTATTGTATTTCAGTTATATGTTGGGTAGTTGTATCACGTTAGGCAGAATTATGACCTGGTGTTTATTTAGAGATGAAGTGTAGTTTAAACAGGTGTGTTTGAGTGTCAAGTTGACAAAGGGTGGAATGTGATGGTTAAAGTGGATTGTCAACTTAATTTGTTTTGGTGTCTGCCTAGAGAATTATAAAGCACACTTTGTGGTATTTCTGGGTGGATAATAGAGATCTGACCTCAAGGTCTATATCTACTCCCTTACCTTTTTCTCTCTGGTGTTGTTCCCTTGCCCTACTTCTTTCCTGCCATATACTAATAATCTTTGCTTCACTATGCCCTTCTACCATGATCTTTCATTTTAGAACCAGCTGACCATGGACTGAATTCTCTAAAACTGTAAGCCAAATTAATCCTCTTCTCTTTTAAGGTGTGGGTACCAGTATTGTGTCCCAGCAACAGGAAAACTGACCAATACAGAAGAAAAAATATGGTCACAAGAAAATCTAAGCAATGGAAAAGTGGATTTTTAAAACAGGATTTCTATCCTATTTTAAGTTTGTTGTTTGACCTATTATTGAATGATGTTATAGGAATTATATAATGTTTTACATCATATTTTCCATCTGTCAAATGGGACAATAAGCTATCTACCTCATGTCATTTTTGTGAGGCTTTCCTGATGATAATGAAGTTGAAAAGTCAAAGAATGTTTAAGACTTACTAAAAAATGCAAGGTTTACTGTAAAATGATATCAATACAAATAATGCTGAAAATACATTAATGTTATAAAGAAGTTTGTTTTATGTTTTTACTGCTTTGTGGATTTTTCAAATATACTTGTAGTTTAAAACTAACTGATGAACAAATAGTAGGTGTTACCTCTTATGTGGTGACACTGTAATAATATTCTTCATTATTTTCGTAGGGAAAAAACCAAACAATTTGCCAGACTTTTTAAAGAGACAGATCATCTCTATTGGGCTAATTGTCAATAATTCGAAACAAAACTCCCACATAATCTTAGTGGAATTTTGGGTGCTGAGAGAACTAAAGAGTTAATTTATAACACCAGAACAAATTGGACCAAAAGTCTCTGCTGGTAGTTGACTATCACTCAGTGATATCTTCATCATTCAGCAACAATAAGAAATCAAAATGTATTTCCGGAATCTACTTTGCAATTATGTACACTTTTTTGTTAGTATATTTATTTGTCAGAGAAAGGATGTGTGAGAAGCATTCTTTCATGTAATCATGGAAATGAAAAATAAGCTTACTACATAAGACTGAAATTACTAGATTCATAGCTTTTAGGACAAGGAATAATTTAAGAGATTATCTACATCAACCTCCTTTTTTGAGTAAAAGGATATCAAGGCCAAGAGTATTTCTTCAGGGTTATATAGTGGGGTATAACAGTGAAGGAATAGAATCCAGAAGTTCTTGTATCTAGTCTGGTCTTTCTTCTGATATATCAATATGAGTTACAGAGGTCCAGAGCCAGGAACACCACAGTTCTAGAAGTTCCTGAAATTAAATGACAATTGACAAGAAAGTGCTCCTTCTAAGAAAAATTTGAGGTCAGCTAAGCTCATATGATATTCACCAAGTTCTGTTGGTCCAGACCAGTTTATGATTAAGACAAGAACCTACTTAAAAGGCTACATAAAGCCTTAATACAGCTCAAATCGGAAATCTACACAATGTTTTAAAATGAGCAGCAAAAGCTTTTGAACCTTATTAAATTGTCAATTTTTTTGTTTCTGATCTTTTTAGTAAGTAATCCATTAAAAAATCTGTTTTACAAACAAAACTATAGAAGTCCAAAACCTTCAGACAGCTAAAAAAAGTTTTAATTAAAATGTGTTTGTAAATCCTTACAATGAACATTATTTTAGTTTATTTTTTCTTCCTTTAAATCTTAACCATAACTAATAAGAAATTAGAAAAAGAGCTATATTACATAATTTTAAAAAGAGAATCATACCTTTCCTCCCAACTGTCTTCAAGCTGTCAAATGTAATATTATCTACCTCATAATGTTGTGACACTTTTTAAAACTAAATTATGAAAGAGAATATTTAAAACTTGCTCCAAAAGTCTGGGAATGTAGCTCAGTAGAAATATACCCACCTAGCATGGGCAAAGCCCTAAATTTGATCCCCAACACACACAAAAAGTGCAAAGCATATTAACTACATCAACACTGGACAGGCATGCTGCATGTATGTTGAGACTGTAAGGAAGAGTTTATATACTGTTAGCATTTTCACCTGTTGTGCAGTTTTGTGTATATCACAAATACTTCTGTTTTCTGAAAATGCATTTAGCATTTTCTCATGAGAAGCATACAATGAATCTTATGTGGCTAATATTAATTTATTAAAAAAGAAAAATAATAGCCAATTCAAATTAATTAACTTATTAGCTTTAAGAATAAACATAATCTGGATGTGAGGGTGATCTGGCTGTGACATCTGTCACCCCATTGATTACCAGGATTGATTCGGCTGACCTGGCAGGCTAGGCAGGTGTTCTCTTCCTCCTTCACCACTCCATGTGTGTCTCCCAGGAAACTATGTGCTCTATTGAAGAGGATGACCACCCACGATAGAGGAGGACCTTGCCTCAGTCAACAGTTCATGAGTAGCAGTGCTCCCCTGCTAGAACCTCCAAACAAGCTCTCAATAATAAACATAATCCAGCTTTATTTTATTAAAGTATGTTTTACCATAGTATGACCAAGGAATCTATAATCATTCTACTTGGATCTTTTCCAATGCTGACAGTGGAAATACCAAAAGCAGTCCAGAGGTGGTGTACAGAAAAATACTATTTTGCCTGTGATCTAAATTATTGGAGGTTCACAGAGCTATGCAATAGAGAATATGCTAACAATGTGTCTATAAAATTCTATTTTTAATACAATTTTGTTCCATTGTTGGAATCCATGTTCCCAACTTTTCCTTTAAAATGTAATATAGAAGATAAGGAAATCATCCTTTCTAATCATTCTTTTCCTCTCACTTCCAAACTCAAATAGTTACCATTAAAAATGTTTAAATTCCCCTTTCTAAATATATCCAGGAAGAAACTTTTCATAAGCCCGTAGAACTGCCATATTAATGGTTTTAATAATAATCCTTAATCTATATTCAAAACAAGTACTCTTTGTTCAACTTCAAGCCTATATCTTCCTCTTCTGATCTAGGTGGAGATTCCTCAATTCTTGGAATAAATTTTCCAGTCCACTAATATTTCTCCTATAAAATATACTCTTAGGAAAAGAGAATTAGAAGGTTGTATGTTCAAGTAGAGCTGCACTATGAAGAAAAGAAGTACAGTATTTATAAATGGAGAAGAGAATAAACAGAATCTGAGACTAAAAGGAAGCCATTAGAGAAATGATTATTAAGCTACACTACTTGATAAAAAGTTTCATAAAATAGTTGAAGTTAAAAATAAATTTCTTTTTTAAAAACTGAAGGAAAAAATGATTTAATACCTCTTTTTAAAATAATTAAAGGAACATTACAGAGTTGTACTAATTTAAGACAGTATTTTTATTTTCTAATCCTTGCATTTATACCCATATATTTTGGAAGTTACATAATAACATGTATATTATTATGTGCTTTTTCTACTGAGGTTATAGTTTATGTGTGTGTGTGTGTACATAATGACCATATTTTTGGCATAACCATCAGTTTTAATGGCCACTATTGAGTTGCCATATCACATAGTTATATCATAGAGACATCGCCCAGAACATCAGCTTAGTCAGTTAGCTATTTAATTTTAGACAAGGGTCAAGAACTTTAAACTATGACATCTTCCCCTTTCATGCTCCATAAATCCTCAGTGTGGTACTAGATGAAGGCCTTTCTTTCTTCTACTGTGCTTTTTCTATTATGTGTTTGGTTTCTGTCCTCCCCTATACACATTGCTTTTTGCTTCTTCCACACTGGTTGAGTATCTCTGTACCACGATCAAGGATGGCATCTGTCCATCTATCTCAAATCCTTGGATACCATGGTCATAGAAGAACGAGCCAGAGATGAGCTCCGTGGCTTGACACCTTTTTCTGTGAAAAGAACACTGACACACCAGTCGAGGTGGGTTTTAATCACTATTACTGCAGTATTTTGTACACATGTCTGCACATTGTTTACAAGATTTAAGGCCCACCTCAGGCTGACATGAACCTCAAGGGGGAGCCTATCCTATGTAATTCTGCTCACAAGTGGGAGAATCCCTGCACTGCCCAGATTTCCACAGTGCTGCCAATCCTGGCCGGCTCACGTCTGTAACCAAGTCCTCTAACTTTTAACATTAGCACTTAAAGCTGGAGCAAGCACTCAGCATGTTAGGAGGCAGCTGACTTATTGTGCGGGGCAGAGATAGCTCTTTGGAGTGGTGCCCAGCAGGCTAGCCCCACCGACTCCTCTGTGAAGAGCTACCACGAGAGGATGACTTCACAGCCCTCCTCCAAGTGTGTGTTTGGGTTCAGGAGAGTGAGAAGAGGCTTTCAACCACTCCTCTCAAAACCACATCATTTCAGTATCCCAAATACACTCAATTGCCTTTGTAATGAATGTACTTGTCTTGGATAGATTGCTTTTAAACCATTTTAAACTATTTTTATAGCTAAAGTTCTTCACTACTATAAAGGCATCTTCTTTATTATAAAATCTATTTAATTGCTATTCACAAAGGGAAACCAGAGCATTAAGAGGAAACTATTTATAATGTTGGGATTACAGATTCTGTAACTTTGCCAGCCTTCTGTGAAACCTGCTCTCTGAAGAAGTGGTGGTATTTCATCTGCTTTGCTCTTAATTTTCTTATTCTACTGCTGAGCAAATGTTAAGTACAACTTTTTACTGAAGGGCAATCTGCTGGATTCAACAGAAGCAGCAGCTGTCCCTTCTTGCCCCAGCCTTGACCAAAACATTAGAGTCATCTGTCTTGTATGCAAAGCCATCCCTCTACTTAAGGTGACACTACATTCACACCTGGCATCCACACAGCCACAGCTGGCTGCAGTACTTGATAGCACACATACCTCTTGCAGCAGCTAACACACACTTGTATTCGTTGTCACACTTGTTATGGAGAAGCCATAGCATCAAACCTAAAGGGCAACTGTTTTATAGTTTAATGAAAGTTTCATTGACAAATAAACTGAATTAATTGGAGCCCCTAAATTTATCATCATTTTTCTAACTATGTTCACTTATATTTCTCAATTATGCTTAAGGTAAAAAATAAATACATATATACACACATAAATGCAGAAACAAAATCCCACAGAAAAGTACTTGTAGAGTTTACCCACTAAAGTTCCAGGTGGTATCAAGACAGAGCATTGCCATCTTGGCCCAGCTCAGGCCCTGCCATCCAGAGCAATCGTGCTCCTGTTACCTGCATGTGGCTCTTCTTGCAGAGTCCATGCCCTTTAGATTGCTACTTCCCATTTAGGTGGGACATGAAACAGGAGTCCCTTGTGTTCGCTGAGTAGGAAGAGGTAGCATCTTATCCAAGGAGCATTTCCTCCCTCCCGGCTATTCCAGGAGCAAACCTTGGGGCCCTGGGTAGTCCAGGCTTTTCCACCTGAAGCTGTCCTGCCCCTCTTCCCTGTGAATTCTCCATCCCTTGCACTGTCTCTCCCCTTCCCCATTGCCCAGCAGTCTGAGTATGGCTGGGGGCCCATTATGAAGTTGACTAGCTTAGGGAAGACTCCCTCTCACTAGGCTTTCTTCCTACATATGGAATTTCCTTCAGCTTTAAGGAGAAGAGTGGAATAAATATTCCAAGGTATTTAATGCACTTTTACTTGTATAAAACTTTCTGTGATAGAGGCAGTATATATACCCCTTTATATGAGCATTAGGTCTTGATCTCCCAATGTTGTATGGATTGTATAATCTAAAACCTTCTGTAAAAAGCTCATTTGTGGTGCAATACACCCTTTGATTAAAATTCTTTAATCCAGATACACAAATAAATAAATAAAACCACTTCATTTTATCTCTCTCAAGTGATTATTTTTCTTTCTGGTTTTAATACTAAGTCAGAATTCTTCCTCCACCCAAATAAGAACTTCCAAATATTAATGTAGTCTTCTAACATTTTTTGCTGTACACAAGTACAGATTTATTTGCAGTTCATACATCTACCTGTACCACATCTTGCCCTTCATAGATACTGCCAACCTCTGGCTCACTGCCCACATTTGTTGAGGTTCTGGACACCTAACTCAGAATAGACCTCTCCATCAAATGCCTTCTTCATGGTGGTTAATGCCAGCATCCAAATGGATGATCTATACTTATTCTCCATCCCTAGGAATTGTAAATCCAAAACCCAAATGACCTTAACTTCTACTCCACTCTAGAGATTTGTTTTTCTTTTTTGTTATATCTCTCAGAATCTCCATGTCATCCACCTCGGAAAGACCACACTTCCTTTCATACAAACCTGGTGAACCACACTGTAAATAGTACAGACTGTTTTTCCATCATTATCATGGCCATTAGCTTGCAACCCACCAATCCAACAAACTCCCAGTCCTTGATTAATTCCAAAAGTCAGAAGAAAGATCTTCTTTCATGCTTGGAAGTAGTGAGCAGAGTTTAGAAAAATTCAATCAATTTATTAATACCATCAGAAATGGGATATCTCATTTCTAGGACTCCTTACTCTTAAAGACACCAGACATTTATTTCACTTCTCTTTTGAAAACATGTTCTTCACTTTTCCTCAATGGTTGTTCGAACAAAACATTTCCCTCACCACCAGGA